CAAATTTAGCATGTAAAGCTTAGAAAATGTAAGAGACTGCAATGCTGTAGATTGTGCATCTTTGCAATTTCTTTGAAAAGTTTCGGTAAATATTTTTTATACTTTTTGCAAATGGATTTTATTGATTTTTATATTAAATTAAAGTACATTCTTTTGTCTACGCGTAGAATACTATATCGAGTTATAAATTCAGCATGTAAAATTCAGAAAATGTCAGAGAATTTAATGCTGTAAACTGTGCTTCTTTGCAATTTCTTTGAAAAGTTTTTGGGAGGGAGGGGTTGCGTATGGCTGTGTGTGTCTGTGCCCGAGAATGTATTCTTTTTAACGTTGTTTAAATAGTAATTTGATATTCTATAGGATATCAAAGTATTATGTTCGATTCCTAGGAAACACTGGAAGAATTTTTCAATTTGCGACTTCGTCTGAAGGCTCTTTGCATTTATAGTAATTTCGAGGAATTACTAGCAATGACTGATTTTTGGCTTTGAAGGTAACATATATATGTGTAGGAAAAAAATATGAAATTAGTCAAATTGTTTCGATCCCTAAATCTAGCGTTAACTATAAATTTATCAACAATTTCGTGTATGCCCAACAAATTTTCTGTTGTGATTGATGAAAATTATTAATTACTCGATTAAAATAAATTACCAGAGAAAAAGTCTTCTTCATGATTTCGAATAAAAATGTGAACTTGTTTTGAATATAAAAACATCTACATATATATTTATTTTTAATCGAATTGTAAAAAAAAAAAAAAATGTCAGGGTTAATTCTTTTGACGTATATAAGTAAGAACACATATCAGGTTTTACCCCATGCACCACCCATGAGAAAGAATTATTTTATCGATCGGATTTTATTCTTGGATTAAGGTTGGTAGTGGGCACAGGACACGACAAGGAAATTTAACGAAATTGTTCTCAGTTGTTTACGTCGTTTGATATGTTTGTATTGTATCATGTATCATTTGCTTCAACCCATTCTATTTTCACTATTATAGGTTGGGTTTTCATATTTTACATTACCGTCGAAGAATTAGTCATTGCCAGTTCCCCAGCCAGATTAATTCATTTACATTTAATTTTAAAAAGAAAAATGTTCAACTTTTTTAACGAAGAAAGAAAGAAAGAAAGAAAGATAGAAAGAAAGATAGAAAGATAAAAGGAAAATGGGAAGACTTATAATTGAATTATCTTTTCATTTAAAAGATTGTGCAACAATACAAAAAGTTAACTGTTTGTCTTGTTTTTTGTGTCAGGTTAACTTTCTAAAAATTAATTTTATTCTAACTTAGGTTCCGGTCCATATATTCCCGTGCAAAGGATTAATATAACAAAAATTCATTCAATGAAATGTTTCGAACATTTTAAAAAAAAAAACAAAGAATAAAAAGAAAAAAAAAAGTACGCGATAACATTAACTATTTGATCTAATTAATATTACACGTTTTTAAATATACAAATACAAAATATGTATTATATTTTTACAAAGTTCTGACATATACGATTAAACAGAAACGACGAACAAAATAAAAAACAAATATAATATAATTATCACAAAAATAATAATTAATTCGTTTTTCACAAACTTTAAAATATATCCCTTTTTATTAATCGCGTATTTCGATCGAACACGAAACTATTACGTGCCATTAGAATTCGACACGTATAGAATTAGATGGTAATACAATACTTCTCTAGTAGAGTTAGATCAACGGTAAATCTATCTATCCATCTATTACATCCCTTTGTAACCATCTAACTATTGTGGTATAGCATTTCAGGATCGAGTATTGCAACGTCGAGTTGCGAAATGATCATCGTACTCGAAATGACTATTCTAACGATAGAGAATCACATACACACACACATACACACATATAGAAACAGATAGACACAGACAGCCAGAGAGAAAGAGAAAGAGAGAGAGAGAGAGAGAGAGAGAGAGAGAGAGAGAGAGATAAAGAGAATGAATGAAAGAGAATAGGAATACAAAAGGGAAAGATAGAAAGATGAGACAATCTGTTATCACATTGAATTATCTTGACATCCTAGTAGTATCTACACCCTGTAAACCGCTATTGATCCAGCAGCCTGCGTGTAGTCTCTCTTTCTGGTAGCACAGGGTGCACTGTGCTAGGTGTGAAAGGGGTGAGTGAGTGAGTGAGTTAGTAAGTTAGTGAGTTAGTGAGAAAGATAGATAAAGATGAAGATAAAGAAAAAGTATCTCTCTTACTTTCTCTCTCTCTCTCTCTCTCTCTCTCTTTTATTTTCTCATACTCTCGGATCACACGACACATAAGCTTATCCACTTGAACGAGTTGTTCGTACGGGTCATGGCCGTTCGAGATTCAAACGTTACGAGAAAGAAGAAAAAGAACTTTATGTGCTTGCTTGCTTTAGTGACTCTCGACTTTTTTCACGCTCGATCGAATTCCTCCCCCCTCCGACCCTCCCAACCCCAACCCCACTCGCCCCCTGCCATCTTTCAGTCGTTCTGATCGTTCCCGATACTTCAACTCTTATCCTTCCTCAGCATCCCCTCACCCTTCTTCATTATTCCTCAACCCCTTTGATAATTTTTTTCTATACTTCTAACCGATATTGTTATTTTCTTTCAGTTTGTTTTTTTTTGTTATTGTTGGCTTATACCGAACATCAGATTGTACATTTCAATGGAGTTTAATTTTTGCAATGGGGGAAAAAAAAAAGAAACAATGAAACAATTCGTTAGTTTTGTAGAGGTTTTATCATCCGACAAGAGAAATTGTTGGATTGGTTGGTTGTGTATTAGATGGTTGGATAGATTTTCGCATCGATAAGCTTATCTGCACCACGGGGGTTAATCAAGGATCTTCGGGATGGTTTGGAACAGATTAATACGATTGGCTTGATCGTATCTTTCCAATTACCGTCATCCCTTCTAGGGATCTCGATCCTTACGATAAATACCTCTTAGGTATGTACTTCGAAACTTAAGATTATTATTATGTGTCTTAGGAAAGGGGAGAATGTGATGAGATACGCGAGATAATAATAATAATAATAATTTATATATAAAGGTATATTCGGGGAGGCTTTTAACGTGTTGTTAGAATAATTATTATATTGATGATATACGAATATAAAATTGATATGATTTGAACGTCATTTGATATTATATTTGTTTAATATCAATTTTGAATATTTGTTTTTTTTTATTTAAAACGGAATTCGAATAGAAGTGAGTTAACGAGACGAAATGAAAGGATCGGATGAAATTGAATAGGATTATACGCGTTCGTAAAAATAAAAAAAAGAATGAATAAATAAATAAATAACGAAAGAAAAAACAAAACGATAGCTAGTTATTTTCTTATAATCTTGATTACTCAAAGAGTGTTCAATCCGTGAATGTAGTTTATTTAACGAATTCAGGGGGATAAAATCATCGTAGAATATGTTAGAAGGAATCGATAACCTATTCGCCGATTAAAAGGTAATAAAGAGAACATGGACGAAGATCAAAGGATCGGGACTTTACACCATAGTTATATATATATATATATATATATATATATATATATATATATACTATACGATAGGGTGATCCCACGTATGTGTACAATGTACATACACCCACACGTTAGAAACGTTTCCAACAAAACAAGGGCTTCGAGTCGTGCTAACTCGAGTAAACTGAATCAAAGTATCATCATCATCATTATCATAGTCATCGTGGGTAGAATGTAGTCATCCATTCTCATCAGAAAGAAAATTTACATGCTGCCTTTTCATTAAAAAACACACCCACACCTTCGAGAATAATATTTATATGCGCGTCGTCATTCATAACAAATAATACATTTCAAAAAGTAATTTCGAACAATAGAAATGATATGTGCAATCATTTGTCTTTTTATTTTCTCCCCCTTATTTATATTTTTTTTATTCCGAGTCATACTCGAATCAACTGCATACAATTTTTATTCTTTACTTTCTTCAAACGCATCATCCATTTATCTTATCAACAGTGGCCTGAACTTGCTCGACATTAAACGATCTAAAATGAAACCCTAATAATTCAATACGATTAGATGTAATTTAATATAAATAATAATATATTCGTGCGCTTTTTTAAATGAATATTTTCCAAAGTATATATTTTTTTACAAAAACAATCCAATTATTTATGTAATTACAAAGTTAAGTTTCAATACAATTAACTCACGAAATTTTTTGCTAAACCCTAATAATATAATATAAAAAAATTAAAAAAAATACATATATGAACAATATATTAAATAAACAATATTATTAGGAGACTGAAAAAGGCGGAAGTAAAACGCGTTGTTCGAGAAACAAATGGTTAAATGTTAGTTTAAACTCCTTCCGTTTTTCTCTTTTACGTATGTGCGTGAGTGCATGCGTGCAATACATGCGTGCAATGTAGATGTATATAGTATGTTTGTGTATAAGTTAAGAAGAACGTGCGCGCGCGCGACCTACACACGCGTGTGTGTGTGAGAAAGAGAGAGAGAGAGAGAGAGAGAGAAGAGGTCAGAGACAACGTCGCGTCGTTGCTCGCAGTGATCGTCGCGACGCCGTGTAGACGGCAACCCGTTCTACCTCCGTGAAATCTGTTCTTACTCTCCCGTCTGTCTGTCCACTTATTTTTTTCCTTTTACTACTTTTAATTTATCCATTCGTAATTATTCTTACCTATATTTCTCTCTCTCTCTCTCTCTCTCTCTCTCTCTCTCTCTCTCATATAAATTTAATTTTGTTTATTTATTATCTTCGATATCACACAATTTATTTTCAATACCTTTTGTTACGATTGTTATTATTATATATTTATTTATATTTGCAATTGAACACAGATCGAGATTAAAAAGAAAAGAAAATTGATAGAAGAGATAGAAAAAAAACCCCATAAGTAATTCGATATATATATATATATATATATAATTTTTTTTTCTTTTTTTTGCGTTATCTGTCTTGGTTTTTTATTTTTTCCCTTCCACTTTGTTTTGAGTCTCTCACACATTTTCCCTTAAGATTTTAATTTGATTTCACAAATGTTTTTCTAATGGATTGAACTTGTTGGAAACAAGTTTGAAAATGCTGGCCAAGGGATCTCGTCACTTGACGTTGTTGCGAATTTGAGAAAGTTCATTCTCATTGGATAAAAGTGCGTACAAAATTATTCTATATTAAATTATTATTATTATTATTATTATTTTCTTTCTTATTTAAGAAAATGCAATGGTACTTTACGAGATTAGTTGGCAGAGTTTACGCGAGACACGTGACTTCATTTACGTTCTCCAAACTTTACTTTACTTTACTTTACTTTACTTTACTCGTATTTCTAAATTTTCCTCTCTCTCTTTCTATCTTTTTCTCAATCATGTTTTATGATGATAGGAACCTAAAGGAGTTATCATCGAGAGTTAGAGTTATTACTTTTTTCGTATAGGTGGAGGGAGGAGAAAAGGGGGTAACGTAAAAGGTGAGAAATATAATACATTCGGATAGGATAGGATAACAACAATGATATATTCAAAATGATTCGTCCAATTGGACGATATCAGTATCGATGTCAGTCAATATTGTTTTAACGTTTGCCAATATCGGTCAAACTGATGGTCTATTGTTTCGAGTATAGTTCGAAATTAGACCTACCATAGGGGGAAGGGGGAATTACTGATCTATATACACATATGTATTTCGGAATGGTCTAATTATTTATCGATCGTTTAGAAAATCACTGGGTTGAAAGATAATATTTATTGTGTATTCATTTTATTTTCATTCGAATTGATTATTATTATTATTATTATGGAGAAAAATTAACAAATTAACAAATTTGTGTTATATAAAAATATATGTTTGTTTCTTTTTCTTTTTTTTTTTCATTCGACAAATGTAAAAAAGAACAAAAAATATAATAAGAAAAAAGAAAGAAACAAATTAATTATTCCAATAGTTTTTTTTTTTGTCGTGACAATTGTAAACGTTGAATAAATAAAGAAACTCGAGAATAAAAAACAAATGTTAACATTTATAATTATATATACGAGAGTGTGTATATTATATTATATTTAAAATAAAAAAGTCAAAAGCAACGTGATTATGTTGAGAAAAGCTCGTGGTAGTGTATTAAACATTGGAGTAAAGCTCTTTGCATATCCTTGAAACAAGAATCGTTACTGGAAACTTTATAAACGAACGGAAGGAAATGCGCATAAATTTATTCAAAGGAAGGAAGGAATGAAGGAATGAATGAATGAATGAATGAATAAACAACGAATAACTGAAGTGAAAGAAAAATTAAGAAATAGGGAAAGAGTGATAAGATATAGCATTAACGAAATCGAATCTTATGATACGCGTGTCTTGGTATTAAATTTCAACTGGATGATTGAAACTGTTATAAGTTTGTCTGATGGTGAGGTATAGGATTATCTAGTGATTAATCTTCATCTAGAAAATACGATATTTAGTTGGTGTGTGGTATATTCATAATAGAAATGAAATTTTAATAGTTTTACAAAAACAGAAGGTTGTATGACTATGCTATTAAAATTTATGAATAATTAAGGATTTTAAAATAAAATTTAATTAATTCTATTAATAATAATATAATATAATATGTTATAT